TCTCTTGGGGAAATGCAGTGGATGGTGTGGGGAGTGCAGTGGATGGTGTGGGGAGTGCAGTGGATGGTGTGGGGAGTGCAGTGGATGGTGTGGGGAAGTGCAGTGGATGGCACTTCTCGGGGAGGAAAACCCAGGAGCCTCCAGGGGGTCTGAGACATGGTCTCAGCGGGACGCACACCTGCGGCAGGAAGAAGGTTCTGACCCGGCCGCGTGCCCCTCCCTGGACCCCCAAGCCTTTGTGCATCAAGGGGCGAAGTAGAAAGCACACTGGGCGGCATGTCGGGGCTCCTGGTCCTGGGCTTGGCTCTGTGCCTCCATTTCTAATTCGCAAAGTGGGGGTGCTAATGCTCTGACCTGTCTCTGGCTGCCTGTGCCCCCCACCCTCAGTATCCCCATCTGTAAAATCAAGGGCCTTGCACCCAGTGGTGGCCAGAGCCCCTTCAGCACGGATGTCCTGCCTCCAGAACGCTAGGGTCGTGGTCTCAGCTCCGGCCTCCAGTGTCCCCCATTTTCTTATCAAATGGTATTTATCAGGGAAACAAAGCTTGCGGGGCGGGCAATCAATGGAAGCATAAAGGCGCCATGGAAAGCCGCGGCTTCAGGGGAAATTGAAAACCTCCAAAGGCCAGACCTCCAGGAGGACATTGATTCCCATGATGGCAGCAGGTGGAGCGCTCTGGCCTCCAGCAGGGCAGGAGGAGGCATGGCCTCCTGGCTCAGCACCAGCTGGGAGGGGGCGGGGAGGGGGGTGCAGCATGAGGGGGTTTCTGTACAGACCTCCTATAATCCAGCGGCCACGCCAGCTGCGAGGCAGGCACTGTACTGTGCCCCTTGCACAGACCTGGGCTCAGAGAATGGAGTGGCTCGGCCAAGGGAGGGAGGATTAAATGAGATAATCCACAGAACAGAATGCTCTGAGCTCAGGCCAATTTCCAGCGTTCAATAAATAGTGTCTCTTTATAGAATCAGCCAATCATAATCATGTCAGCAAAAACCAGGCACAATTAGGAGAAAAGTTGTGCCACCCTCTCCTCCACCTCCATGGCTCCTTTAAATATATGTCAAGGCAGGTTTCAAACATTAAACTCTCCTCATTGTTTTGGCCTGTCGGTGACATTGCATCACACACACTCACACACACACACACACACACACACACTCACTCACACACACACACACCCTACCTCCTAGCGAGTGGGGCCTCCTTTGTGCCCCGGGGGATCCTAAGGACCACAGCAGCCAACAGTGGTGCAAGATGGCCCCGCCCCTGGCTAATTTGGGGGTCAAAGGGAAGCTCCCCAGGACAGTGGGAAGATGGGGAGCCAGGCACAGCCCAGGGCCCCACATGCATTGTTGGCTCTGAGCAGTTCTGCTGCAGAGCCAGGCTTCCCAGTCTGCCCTCGCCGAGTGTGCATCCGGCACATCCTGGCGCGCTGTTTCCAGAGGCCTCTGGGTAGAGATCAAAATTCGAGAGTGGCTGTAATTTCACGCCTATAACAGCCCCGCTATGTGGTGGGGAAAGACATTTGGGAGCCCCGTGGGGGACACCGAGGGTTCGTGCCGCACGCCGTCATTAAAATGTTTTTATCCGAGCTGCAGATAAATCGTAAGCCAATTTCAAAGCGGCATGCTGGGCCCCGGGAACGCATTCCACACAGTCACAGGAGCATGGCCAAGGCTCTTCTTGGGGTGCAGGGCATGCGGGAGAGCATGTTCAGGGTGCGATGTTACAATCAATTAAACGTGGCGAGGCCCAGACAGCCCCACCCTGTGCCACCAGAAGCCCGAAGCACAGGGCTTCTAGCCCACCGTCACGGGGCAGAGCTGTCACACCGAGGGGCTCTACCAACCCACAGCTGACACTCAAGGCCACGTCCCGCCAAACACGGTCTGTGTGCCCAGCACTGGGTGCTGAATGCCAACCCACAGCTAACCGTGTGACCTTCACGAGAGCCCTCGGAGGCAGGCATGGTCACCCCCCGTTTTACCCATGAGGGAGCAGAGGCTCTGAAAGTTCCCGGGGCTCACCCATGTGAGTGACAGTCCCACCAGGCCTGCGGAGATCCGAGCAACTCTGAGCTCCCAAGGGAACCATCCCTACCTTTCGTCACTCAAATGCCAGAAAGCGATGGGCGGTGGGAGGTGGGATGCAGAGTGGAGAGAGAGGGGACCTCACCTGGGTAGGACCGAGGCCTCCCTAGGAGCACTTGGCTTTCGGAAACTCAGACAGTCGGGTGGGGCTCCTTTTCCGTCAGGCCTGTAGGAGTTTGGGAGGACAAAGAGCTGTGCCCCAGTCCCCATGGGTGTGCCCCTTCTCGCATCCTCTGCGACCGAGGGCCCCTCTCAATCCCTCTGAAAGGAGCACTGGACCAGGAGTCCAGCAGCCCTGAGTCCAAATCCAGGCAGGTTTCCACTTGTGGCAAGGACGGTCTGGTATTGAATGTCCTTTCTAGGAAAGACGAGATCAGAATGTCTTTTCTGTGAAAACATTAGAATAGGCCCCTCTGAGCGTGGTTACATCTACAAAGACCCTAGTTCCAAGTCAGGCCGAGCCGACAGCCACTGGGGGTTAGGGCTTCGACAAATCTTTTCTGGGGAAACAATTCAGCCAACACCAGGAACTGGGCCGGGAGGGAGCCGAGCAGGAGTCGCCGCTGTCTGACTGAATCCCACACTCGCTGCTCCCAGCCACAGGGGTCTCCCTCCACTGAGCATTTACTAATACGCCAGGCACTGTGCTGAGCTCCTCATAAGTTAGCTTAATGAGCCGGCACAACAGCTCCATTAGGCGGGCACACCATTCCCCCTTTGCCAGATAAGGAAGCCCAGAGGTGCTACCGCCTGCCTAGGCCACCCCGGCGCCGGTGGCGGGGCAGGGGTAGTGCCTCAACCACACGTCACCTCTCTGCTCTACCGGAAGTCGCAAAGTATCGATCGGCATTAGTAAAACGTCCCATCTCAGGATTCCTGCCTCTCTTCTGCAGGCTTCCAAGTGAGGTTGGCACATGAAGGTAGAATTTTGGAACCTGAGGCTGTAATGGCACCGAAGCACACCATATGCTTCCCAACCCTGGGGCCAGGGGACACAGCGCCCACCCCGGAAACAGTTGTTATGAACTCTGCACGACTGGGGTTTTCCCAGAGTATTTTACTGATTTTTTAAAAAATTGATTTCAGAGAGGAATGGAGGGAGAGAGAGATAGAAACATCAATGATAAGAGAGAATCACTGATCAGCTGCCTCCTGCACACCCCTACTGGGGATCGAGCCTGCAACCCGGGCATGTGCCCTTGACTGGAACCGAACCCAGGACCCTTCAGTCCGTAGGCCAATGTTTTATCCATTGAGCCAAACCAGCTAGGCCCACAGCGGTTCTCAACCTGTGGGTCGCGACCCCTTTGGCGGTCAAACAACCCTTTCACAGGGGTCGCCTGAGACCATCCTGCATACCAGATATTTACATTATGATTCATAACAGTAGCAACATGACAGTTATGAAATAGCAACAAAAATAATTTTATGGTTGGGTCACAACTTGAGGAACTGTATTTAAAGGGCCAGAAGGTTGAGAACCACTGAGCTAGGGCATTTTTTTCTAACTGGATTTTTATTAAGTACATCTGGTGCTTCCCCCCACCCCCGTGTTTTCTCTTTAAAATAACTTGTTTTATTGAGATAGAATTCACATACTCCAATCATTTAGAGTATACAACCCAGTGGTTTTCAGCATATTCAGCATATCCAGCAACCACTTTTAGAAGGTTTTCATTGCCCCAAAGAAGCCCTATACCTATTAGCCATTGTCCTCCCCCCCATATCCCCTCCCCTCCCCCCGAGTCCTAGGCAAACACTAACCTGCTCTCGGCCTCTGCGGATTTGCCTGGACATTTCATGTTCATGGGGTTACACAATGTGTGCTCTTTTGTGACTTCTATCACTTCGTATAATGTCCTCGAGGTGCATCCATACTGGAGCATGTATCACACTTCATTCCTGTCCGAGGCTGAGGAATAGTCTACATATGTCGGACGACCTTCTATTTATCCATTCACCCACCGGTGGCCAGGGGCTTGTTTCCACTCTGGGGCTATTGTGAATAGTTGTGCTGTGAGCATTCATGTACAAGATTTTGCGTCAACATATATTTTTAATTTCCTTGCAAAGTGGCATTTTGATTTGCATTTCCCCGGTGGCTAATGATGTTGAGCGACTTTTCATGTGCTTCTTGGCCATTTGGATATCTGCTTTGGAGAAATGTCTCCAGATCCTTTGCTCATTTTCGGTTCAGCTATTTGTCTTTTTATCATTAAGCTGCAAGAGTTTTTTATTCCAGATATAAGCGCCTCCTCATCAGATTATAATTTGCATACATTTC